AACTGGAAATGCTACTCAGTTGTACCCTGTCAGCAGCCATTATCTATTCGTTGCTGGATGGAGGCCTCCGTACGCCATTAGCGTCAATTGTGATCTTTCAAAGCCACAATCCACCTACAACGTCGCCGATCTAGTCGCTCCATCGCTACGGTGATCGTCCTCTTGGGCACGTCCTAGCGATGACGTGTCCTGGCCAAGCCCGCTGACGTTGCTTAGCAGTCGATATTATGTCTCGGATGCGCACACGTCCCCTCATCAATGTGCGTCTCTTTATGTCTCTGTGTTTCCAAGCGTGAATCTCTCCATGGGTCTTTGCGTATTTCTCGGCTTTTGTTCAATAATTATATTCAGTGTCCATAATTCTGATCCATACGTCGTGGTGCAAATATGCATTTGATTGAAAGCCGTCTTCAGCCATATTGGCATATTTTGTCGATGTATGACTATTTATTTACGCTTTTTTACCCAGCAAAGCCTCAGTGAGTCTCACAACTCTTTTTCTGGAGGATCCTGCCAAAGGGTTTGCAGTAGAGGTGGGGGGGGGGGGGCGGTGGTTGCTATGGATAATACCAATTAGAGAAACTGAAAACTGTTCATGCACAATATAAAGTGAAGTGTTGCTAAAACAAGTGGCTGTTTAATGAATAATTGATGTAATTGTTGCAATGTGTTACCAAAATTTTCAGGCTTTTTAATGAACGCCGAAGATTTTGCCATCCACACGGAGTCGCAGCAATTCACAGGGCACCCATGGGGAGAGTTCATACACTGTGCTGTGTGCACGTTGTCTGTAGGGGGCTCTGCTGCCTAGCTTGAGGTCATGACAAGACTTCAATGTCAACCACAACATACCCACAGGGAAGCTTATAACTGAGTAATTGAATATACGTATTATATAACGTGAAGTGTGGCTAAATAAAGTGGCTAAAACATCCCTTTGCCAGTAGGGGGCAATTATGGCCACGTCGATTCCAACTGGGTAATTTGCGGGTAATTTTCAGAATGTTGACCGTGACACAGGCACACAATGATGCCATCCTCTTGCCAATGACGTCACGGGATATTTAACGTCCACTACGAAGCAAAGAGGAGCGAAATGTAACGGTTCATACACCCGCAATGTTCATCAGCGTGGCTGTTGGAATCAAACCGTGAACCTCTCACAATAGGCAGTGGATGCGCTCCCATGGGGCCACGTCACCGCCCCTGTACCTGCAGTGGATGTGGGCATGTAAAAGCTCTAACATGAGCATTCACTACAGTGCGACAACAAACGCTACCACTATGGAAACAAGTGTGGCCGGGACGTGGTGCTTTCCCTGCGACGCTTCATGCACTTTGTTTAGTTTGTGGTCGCTTCCCCATACTTTTGGTTAGCACGGTTTGCTATGTACGCTGTGAAATAATTTAAATGCGTACATTTGACTGTAAAAAGAAAAACATCATCGGAGTGTCCCATATGACTTGGGCAGAGGTCATCTTCTTGGCTCACAGGGTACTTCAAAATAAACTGAAGCTGATCCGAGTTGGTGGCCTTGAGCCAGTCGTGGAAATGTCACGCTCCTACGGTGGGGCCCTGTCTTTTCGTAGAACAACAGCCATTGTTGATGTCGGACAAAAGTAATATCCAATTTCGATTTAAAGCTTTCGTGACTGCAATGATTCATCTTCTTTGGTTCTTTCGGTAAAGTCACGTAGAATGAGAATATTATTGTGTTATTTTATTTTATCAATTTATTATTTTATTCTCATTCTACGTGACTTTACCGAAAGAACCAAAGAAGATGATATCCAATTTATCGACCCGCCAAGAGAGGTGATGGGTTGATGGGCTGAGTTGACCCAGGCTGAATATTGAACTCTCAGTCTTCTGACTCTGAATTAAAAGCTCTAACCTGAGCTCCAAGCTGCTGGATGCTTGAAGTGATAGGTGTACGCACTTGGCACTTTTCCTATCTGTGGTTGCTAAAATTGAAATAGGTAAAAAAAATGGTAAAGATGGCGATTGCTACCGCTGGACCGTGTCACCTGTCAGATCCCAAACTAAACTTATCTTCATCCATCAGTGTCTGTCAGGCAACAGTGAATACAACATGCAAGATAAGACTTATTTACGTAATCACTGTCAAACATGCACGGGGCTGAATGAAAACAATCCTGCAATAGTGTCAGGGTTAAGTAAATATAGATAAGGCATTTTGTGGAGTGAAATGCCAATATTAATTTATATTCATATGATAGGCAGATTTCATGCAAAAAAGGTGATTGAACATACTTATGCAGCATAAATACATAGGTAGCATCATATAAGAGTAGCCTGTAAACAAGAAGTCTGGAAAGTATTGGCAGGCTGAAGATGTAAGGCAAATTTGTTTATAACACGTTTTAGCTGAGCGGGTGAAATCACTGTCAGCTTTTGACATTTCCTGCCTTAGCATTTCTTTCCAGATTAAATTCAAAATAAGTCAGTAGTTTCACAGCATGAGATGAATAAGTTTCAATAGAGTGAGCAGTTTATCACTAAAATACCTCTTGCAAAGAGGCCTCTTATTGAACACGAGGAGGTGTGTACCTCTATAGGCCCTCAAATTATTTGCCCAATGTCAATACAACTAAAATGCAGAATTAAGTGACAATCCAATTACAAAAAGGACAATGCCTGTGCAGTCATTGGGGACCAGGCTGAGACCATTAACTCATAACACTTGAATACCCAGCTTAATCATGTGAGGCTTCCTGAATTTAAACCCAGAATATTAGCAGAGGCAGCTCGGTGCTTTGACGTGCTGCTCCTGACGAATTACATTTATGCCACGGATTTTTGGATTTGAAAACAACTTCAAGGTGCCTGATGGCGTGGAGACCCTTCACACATCCTCCACAGCGGCACACTCAACCGCTGTCAGGAAAATTTGCCCAATCAGCATTCTTCGACGGCTTGCGCTCAGGTCGAACGTTCTGTATGAACACACATTTTTTTGGAGACCTGAAATACACCTAGACGTAGCAGTTCATGACTGATGTGATAATGTAAGATGGAGAACATGATAGGCACCAGCTCTGGCTAGTTGGGTCGGCATGACTGCCAGGTGATAAGATTCCAATTATCCGAGCTAGGTTGTGCAGTGTGATAAGTTGAGAGAGATATATGTTGGTGCCAGCATTATTGTTAGCCTCATACACTACCCACTGGCATTAGCTCCCTGCACCTCTGGCAACCTATACTTGTTTACAAAATTAGAAAAAATAATAATTATATATTTATACTATATCTTGACATTTGTACGCTAAAAATTCACAAATCAGACCACCATCCCTCCTGGCCACTTATCCGTACGTGCAGAATTTACCCCGCAAGCTCAGACACACCAATTGAAATGAGCACCACAGGCATTTCAAAATGACGTTTTAACCACTGTGTTCGCTAATTTTAAACGACTTACATTTTAATTGCTCCCACAATGTAACAAACGTCTCAGAGCAGAGCATTACACAGGAGGAATCAAAGGGGAGGGATCAAAGGGACCGAGAAAATAGGAGAGAAAAGAATGACTCACTCGTCCACTCACTCACCCACCCACCCACTCGCTCCCTCACTTCACTGACCCACTCATTCACTCAAAGATAGGAGAGAAAAGAAGCAATGAAGGAGGTCTGAAGGCACGGGGGTTGAAGAGGATGGATTTGAGGAGAGATTTAAAATGGAGAGAAAGGGGACCTAGGTGGAGTTGCCTGAGGAAGGATTTATAAAGGTGGCATTGTTGAATTCAGACAGAATAACTCCTCTTTACTGGGATGTGTTTGTAGACATGGAGAGCTCACTTCAAATCACACCAGACGATCGACAGTAATTTTATCTTTAGAGCAATGTCCTTATGTGCGTGAACTCTGATGCCCGCATCTCGTGACGTGTGATAGGCTTCACAATTCTGGGATGATTAAACCGAGTTCTTGGGTGTAGAAAGTTATTGATGGTTTCAGCCCAGTCACCAATGGCTGAACAAAAACGCATCATACAAAACGGTTTTTTGTTATTGTTACAATCTGTCAACATTGCAGCTCTGAGAATGAATAAAATTCAATGTCATGGTTTAACTGCCATGCCACAAACATATTCCACATTAGGGAGAGTGAACAAGTGCAGTGCCCCTATCGTGCATTCGAGGTCACTTCAAGGGATCTGAGAAATGTCTCCGTGGTATCTCCTCGTGCAGGCAATTCTCTAGCACAGGGTGATGCACTGCACCAATTTTGCGGGCCAACTTTTGTGTCATGTGAAATGCATTCTTCCCGCAAAATGAAAAACGCTTCCAATGTTTCACAGTATCATGGTCTTGAGGATGTCAGCGTTCACTGCATCTCCTTTGTGGAGACAGATGGCAGAGAACAGGTAAATGGCGCTTTTAAGCAACCTCTGAAACATGGAACCTTTACCAAGGTCAGGACACTTCCGTCACAATGGGTTTTTCTTTTGCATTTTTTTTTAATTCCCATATTTGGCTCCTCGGGGTCAACGATTAACGGGTGTGCTTGGTGTATGATGGCGTATGATGGCATTGGGTTGGAAGAGTGAAGCAGTGGTTAACGAGATGCACTGTGAATTAAATGTAATCTGAAACCTGTCCTGGGCACTCCCACCAACCTGCACAGACCAGCGTGGTGATGTATGGTTAAACAACCCCCACAACCAACACCTCCGATTAGCACGGTTGGCTATGTATGGCGTGAAAGAAGTTCAACATACACCAGCAATGGGTTGTAAATTATTATAATGATCATTATTATTTATATAGAGGCATAATGTGTATCACAAGTCGAAGTCAACATTGCTGGGACTTATTCAATCTGATTGTGCACAGGATCTCAGGGGCACAAACGCTGATGGACACCCAAGATGTCAGTTACGGGAACTAGCGTGACACAGGCACAAGTTTCTCAAGCCACATTATTCAGAACGTTTGCAAAACCACGACAAATCAGAGAAAAAACGCGAGACTCACAACATGAAGTCTTGCTCCCAGCAGGGCTGATTTCCACGGACTGCGATGGTCGTGCTTTTCACATTTTGCACTTTGAGTGTCACGTACGTATTAAATTTCTCTGAAAGGGAAATGTGAAGGGGGGGGGGGGGGAACCCACACGCACATCAAAAAGTGAACTTCCAAGAAAGACATCCCAGCAAGGTCACAGAAAATTTTCAGAAAAATATATGCGTCGCAATCATTCTAAATTATGTCCTCTATAGCATTGCCTTTGCGAAAATAACCACGAATGTGCCTGATATTGTTAGATCTTGGAAAATAGGATATTTTTCATCCTGGATCATGTTTGGCTATGAAACCGCTATGCGTAATACCGGTGGTGTAGGCTGCTGCTACGGTGTTACATTTTCAGCAGAAGACAGTGCAGCAAAATCCATTGCCGTGTACCGTACTCAAATGTATACATTCCTGAATTCACCAGCCTGCGCTGGTGAGCGTGGTGAAGTATGGTCAAATAACGCTTAAAACCCGCACGACGTGGGGAGTCCCTCAATGAGCAGTTGATTGACCAAAGGTCTGTGCCTGTAAGTATTACACAAGATAGTTCTTATTTGCTATGACCAGCAATGGCAAGTGAATTCGTGAATGAGGAGCCTCTCCATGAGATCATCATTGTAGATCCATGGGCCTCGTCCATCCTAGAGGCATGACCCCCCCCCCCACTCTCTACCCGCATAGCCCAGCAGTGGTCCCCCTCCCCGTGGCCCCCCTGCCCCCCACGCCCTCCACCCCCCGCTCACCCCCCACTCGCCGGCCACCCGCGCACCCCCTCCCCTCTGCACACTGGGCAGTGCATGGCCTCCAGTCAGTCACAACCAGCGCTGGGTGGCACGAGGCCAGACATTTTTGACCGTGCTCACGGCAGATATTATTCGCTTTTTCAGTCTTGTGCATCTGTGAAGTCCCAGGCGTTTCAGCCGAGAGCCGCCTGTCCTGGTTTTCACAAGACCGTCCCTTTTTCAGAGGTAGAAATCACAAAGTTTTCCCAAGGCCACCGTTATCTGTCAGTTGCGTGAATAATCCGCACAAGACAACGCTATGCCAGGTAATTCTCACCACTTCTGATATTGTCAGGTATTCTTTTTCCCACGTGTTCTGGTTTTTTGCGCCTCAAGAGGTATCAACCCAAGAGATGGAGCACTTCTCGGCAGAACACACAAGAACGCTCCCCAAGTCTGTAATGTCACGGATCGCGAGGGACAGTTTCATATGCTTGCTCTCTCTGCAGAAGAGATGTGTGGCAGAGATGAGGTCAAGGCGTGTTCCGTGCCTGGCCTAGATTGCCGAGCACCTGAGTTCGATGGATTTTGGCAACAAAATGAGAGTGCGACGCTTGATTGCTTCCTTGCCAAGCCTGCTGATTTCAACAGCAGACTGTGCCCACTTTTAAACACTGTCACTGTGTACGGCATTCTAAAAGGAAACCAAAAAATTGCCCCTAATTTTTCTCCCCCCCCCCCCCCCCCCCCCAGGAACATTTCATATAGTGGCACAAATTCAGTATGCGGGAAAACAGGTTTACAAAACCACCTTACATGTAACCTTACGGTCAAATCGGTAGAGTCGGGTAGCCGCCGTTTGCGCAATTCAACTGTGACAAAATCCGGCACATATCACCCAACGGGGGCAGCACGTTCACTCGTGATGAGCGACGTTATTGTGCTTTTAGAATTGGGGAAAGCCAACATTCCACCGCACACGTCACACATGCATGACCACAAAGCCTCAAGCGTTGGACACCCCCCCACATCACATCGTGGAACCTTCACAGCTGATGAGATTTCAACATCTATATGCCTACTGTATATCTACGATTCCACGGGGGGGGGGGTGAGAATGTGAAAATATTTGTGGCTGAGATGACTGATGCAATTTGCAGCTATTGTTGTAGATAAGAGAAGTTAGAATGTATATATGTACTCTTTGTTTTTTTTTTCGGTAAAGCCACGTAGGTGGCAGCCACCTGATGATGGAGACTTGTGTTGCCTTCGAAACGACGTGATTTGTTTTAATTTAGTTGTTTTCATTTTAATTTATTTTATTCAGTTTTTTACCTACGTGACTTTACCGAAAAAACCAAAGAGTATGGATCCTTGCAGTCACGAAAACTTCAAATCTAAAATGTATATGTTTTAAGCAAATGTATACATTCAATGGGTACAACATCCATTAATTTCAACGCATTTAGATTGAACATATGTGGGCAGACCTATGGCGCAGTGGTTAGCACAACTGTGTACGAACCCAGCAACTTGAGTTTGGTTCCCGGCCATGGCCAGCATCAGGGGTTAATAATACCACAAACCGGTTCTGGGCACCCCTTCACGAACACCCATTGACCAACGTGGTGAAGTATGGTCAAACAACCCCCATGGAGGCCTTCATCCAGCAGTGCACAGAATGGACAAAGGTCTGTAGCTTATTAATTGTGAATAAAATGACACTGCAACTTTAGTAATTTCAATATAAGTTCAGGGAACAAACCTTGTGGCTAAAACTAAAGTACACCGTTTAACTGTGCACTTTGTGTTCATTACCAAACCCCCACAGTTACAAATGTCTACTCGAGTAGACAACACCAATGTCAGATCATATACAACCGCTGCTTATTTTATGACCAATTAAGGTCTAATTGAAGCAGATGATTCTAATAAAGAGTGGTTTCCCCACGAATTAATAAATTATCTACTAGGTGGCACAAGTGTTCAATAAAACGCAGCAATATTCTGCCAAAGCTATGCCCGTTTTGTACGAGTTCCGGTAATGACTTTACCCTGAAACTGAGCTCTCACAAACGCCACAACGACACAAAAGAAGCCAAACTGTAACTTCCACAGTGGCGGGAGGCGGAAGACCCACACAGATACAAAACGCCCTGCAAATAAACCGGTCTTGACGAGCACTGCGCTCCAGGCTACCCGTGTGTGTGTGTGTTTACAGGTGTACACGGGGCGTATAACAGTACAATAATAAACACGTGGTTTCCGTGCCTTCAGATCACCACTTGAACAAAAAAATATCGCAAGCGAACGCGAATGAATGATAACGGAAATCCTCCACAACTATCGGGAGCACTTTGGACCAATGTCACTTGCTGTGACGACCTCCTGTCACGGCCTACCTCACCACGCTTAAAAAGCGATGAAAGCCAGAGTGGGTCACATAGCCTGCTTCGAGTTAAACGGCACGGCGCGCTCTGAAAGCTCGCCAATGGGTCAGACGGGATGACGGTGAGAGGGCTTAAAGTGCAGCCCTGCAATTTCTGGCTTGCTCGCTCACGCCACTGTTGGCTTGCTCGATCACTCCACTGCTGATGGAAGGGCCTCCCCGCTAGAGGAAGCTCTTGTGAGCCCTTATGCGGGCTATTTTGTCCTACTCTTCCACACTGGCCAAACATCGTTAAAGAGGTGGGAGTACCCACACTTTACCCCACCACATGTGATGGTTATAAGGAAGCCACTGGCTCTATGCACTTTTAAATAGAGAATGAAAACTTATGTCTTTAGAACTGATTTTTGTGTTTAGTTTGTTGTATTTCCCCCGCACCACCACGGTGCGAAGGAAGTTCACGTAGATACATGTGACCTGCCTCTCAACTAACTGTGGTGTTGTTCAGTCATTCTGCTGGGTGGGCAGAGGTGCCTGGGGGCGGTTGATTTAAGAGACTTGTCCAGTGTTTCAACTTTTGTCTTGGGCCAGGATATCAAAGCAGTGACCTCTGGATTGCCATATTCCAATGTCAGATCTATTTGACAACAGAGGCCGACAAGCTCGGGATAGCGACTGCTCTGCTCCCACGACTCCAGCTGAGTGTGGCCGGAATAGCAGCAGAGAGGGAGAGCGCTCCATGGTGTGAAGTCACACCATGGAGCATGGTGTGAGGTCACACCACGGAGTATGATGTGAAGTCACACCACGGAGTATGATGTGAAGTCACACCACGGAGCATGGTGTGAGGTCACACCACGGAGCATGGTGTGAGGTCACACCACGGAGTATGATGTGAAGTCACACCACGGAGCATGGTGTGAGGTCACACCACGGAGCATGGTGTGAGGTCACACCACGGAGCATGGTGTGAGGTCACACCACGGAGCATGGTGTGAGGTCACACCACGGAGCATGGTGTGAAGTCACACCACGGAGCATGGTGTGAGGTCACACCACGGAGCATGGTGTGAGGTCACACCACGGAGTATGATGTGAAGTCACACCACGGAGCATGGTGTGAGGTCACACCACGGAGCATGGTGTGAGGTCACACCACGGAGCATGGTGTGAGGTCACACCACGGAGCATGGTGTGAGGTCACACCACGGAGCATGGTGTGAAGTCACACCACGGAGCATGGTGTGAGGTCACACCACGGAGCATGGTGTGAGGTCACACCACGGAGCATGGTGTGAGGTCACACCACGGAGCATGATGTGAGGTCACACCACGGAGTATGGTGTGAGGTCACACCACGGAGTATGGTGTGAGGTCACACCACGGAGTATGGTGTGAGGTCACACCACGGAGTATGGTGTGAGGTCACACCACGGAGTATGGTGTGAGGTCACACCACGGAGCATGGTGTGAGGTCACACCACGGAGCATGGTGTGAGGTCACACCACGGAGCATGATGTGAGGTCACACCACGGAGTATGATGTGAGGTCACACCACGGAGCATGGTGTGAGGTCACACCACGGAGCATGATGTGAAGTCCCACCACGGAGCATGGTGTGAGGTCACACCACGGAGCATGGTGTGAAGTCCCACCACGGAGCATGGTGTGAGGTCACACCACGGAGTATGATGTGAGGTCACACCACGGAGCATGATGTGAGGTCACACCACGGAGTATGGTGTGAAGTCACACCACGGAGCATGATGTGAGGTCACACCACGGAGCATGGTGTGAGGTCACACCACGGAGTATGATGTGAGGTCACACCACGGAGCAGCACTGCTTTCTGTGTTCAGTGTTGTCCACCCCCCCCCCCCCCCCCCCCCCCCCCCCCCCCCCCACCTCCGATTAGCACGGTTGGTTACGAACGGTGCGAAAGAAGTTCA